ACTTTAGGAGTTATAGGACTCCAACACTATGTAAGTGCGGTCCAGCAGTAAAAATTTAGGAGTTATAGTGATCAGGCAGTTGCAAAGGGCGGTTTGGCAGTAGATGTTACTGGATTTCAGGGATCCGATTCGGCAATAGGTATTACTGGATTCCAGGGATCCGGCACCATATAATGACGGTCTGACAATACTCAATTTCGATCTGATAGTTGTCTTAAGGCGGTCCGGCACTTAAGTTTATGGAATAATGGGTTTGGCAGGGTATTTGCATATAAAGTTTGTTTTGGGGAAAAAATTGAGATAAAAAGTTATAAATTTTGTTGTGAGAAAAAGTTAGGTTGGGGGTAAGCTGCATAGAAATTGTGGGCTTGGGGTTTTTTGTAATATTTCCTTTAAAAACTAAGATCGAATTCTATTTAAAACTAAATTTATTACGGGGCCCGTATTTCTACATGTACAGGATTGACCGCATACTAACCGTGTCCGTTATCTTTTATACATGGAGGTCACAATCATTCATATTCATTCGATGTCAAATTGGATAGCTTAGTTTAGTCACGAAGTCCAATAAATTTATTTTTGAAACTTTGTGTCTGTTCAATGAGACCCTTACAACCACCTAATTTAAAATTAAAATAACAATAATGATTGTGACCACTATATACAAAAGATAATCGGTACAATGCCAATCCCTTTTGATTAAGTAGGCGAAACACTCAAAATATATACTAAATTATTGTTCCATCTAACTCCCTATCTTTCTTGGGTATCACGTTTCCTGTCTCATTTTCCTATCAGTAGGCACAAAAATAACTTTTCTATCCCTAAGCCCATATGTTGTTTTGTGTGTTGTCTCATTTTCCTATCAATATGCAAAAAAAATAACGTTTCTATCCCTAGCCCATATCTGGTTTTGTGGATTGTTATGTTGTTGTGTACACTACATGCAGCGCCAACCATCCATTTATATGTGCTGCATGGTTGATTTTGAAAATTTCATGCGAGGTTGCATGGTGATCCTGCAGGACCAAACATCCGGGCCAAACACAAGATTATGGGGTCATGCATGTGAACAAGTATCGTGCACTTGTGGGAGCAAATTGTATATTTGCAGCTTTCTTATTGATTTTACATTTCAAGTTTTGGGATACATTGTTAGGTGAATATTCATGTATCTAAAACAAAACAAAAAAAATGTTATTTCTACATCTAAATATGACCATCCAAAAATTAGATGACACAAGTTTAGGCAAATTTATCGACATGGGTGAGATTTACATGAGCTTATACCGTGGTAATATAGCACATATCTAAATTTTGCCTTAGATGTTGTCTCGGAGTGGGAAACATTATGATGACTTTAAAATCTATTTCATCCCTAGTTATGAAAACTAAAGATTTAAAGAATGGTGCATAGCAACAGATCTAAAACCATTTGAAATTTTTGAAAACAAAAGTTCCATGCATAACGCTACAAGATACACTATTTTTAACTAAGTTGCTTTTTTCTTCATACCAAATATATCAAAGTCAGATAATTAATTGGAGGTTGTCTAATGTCATTACACTCTCTTCTAGATAATTTTTTTAGTGTTACCTCACTTCAATAAAATAATGTTCACAATTTTTTAATGAAAACTTTCCTTATCAAAGTACACTCACCTTGCATCTACATACCCCTTTTCTACTATTCTAACTCCAAATCATATGTATCTTGATGGGCCTTTTGAGATTAAATATGGTGAAATGTTAAATAGTCAAATCATATGTATCTTGATGCGTGTTTTGAGATTAAATCAAAACATATGGTGAAATGTTAAATAGTCAATATATTAGATATATTTTAACCAGGGAAAAGTTTATTTAGAGCCGAGGCTCTAAACAATCAAACTAGAGTCTACCTCAAAATTTTCATTAGAAGAGGTTGTTTTGATGCCCAAATGTCTTCAAATTAATCATCTTGGCATCAAGATGCATGGACATGAGAAAAAAATAGACTTCAAGTTTTGGAAATAGTGTATCTTGTAACCTATTTTTGGACCATCACTTTTCAAGTTTTTATAGATCTGCTTGATCTTCACTATTTTTTAAGCTTTAATTTTTACAATTAAAAACAAAAATATATTTTAAGGCTATCACAAAGATTTCCAATGTGGAAACACATTTCTCAATACTATTTGAAGGTGGGCTTTAATTTGATTGTTTAGAGC